AAAAAGTATTGAAGGACAATTTCCAGCATGAGTTTTGTAATATTACCTATAATAAATGAATTAAGTAATTGTACTATTTAAACTGCATATACGAAAAGTAATCTCACCGTTCTTGAATCATCTGTGATGTTATACCCAAGCGCCACCAGACAAGCCTTAAATTCATTTGGAGAAAGTTTGCGAGACCCATCTTTATCAAAGTGATTAAAGCTGCGTCGGATATCCTCAATTTGTTCACTCGATAGACCACGCGAGTCACGAGTAAGAATTTGGTTCTCAAATTCGTTGCAGGCGTAACGGATGCTAGAAATAAGTTGTTCCCAAGCAACACGCAGTGTCTCCATAGTAAATGCCGTGTAAGGATTTTCAAAAACAAATGCCTCCTGTAAACGCTGAAATTGAAAAGATCATAGAGCACATATAGAGGGAAAATGAGTGCGTAAAGCATAACAACAAAAGATTTAACTAAGTTTTTTAACTAGTTTAATCCTCAATATAAATCGAGATATAAAACATAGCTCTCCTATTATTACTACCAGAATATGATTCACTATTAATTAAATAATTTTACTATATTTACTAGCTCTATCTAAGCCATCCTAAATGAAGTTGGAAGTTTTCCTATTAAATGTTTTATTAAAACAAGATACAGTATAACGAAGGGAATTTAATCATATTGAAGCGAGTAATCGTCTTTTCAAAACTTATTATATTCATAAAAAACGTGAGATTAAATTATAGTAATTTAGTTTAAGTATAATTTTTTGTAGTAGATGAGATTCGAAACTGTGGAATTCGGACAAGCTGCTTGCATCTAAATTTCTTTGAGCAAGTTGCAGAAACGAGGTTTAAATCTTCAAATGAAGATTTTATCCTGCGAAAATTGGTCGTAACACAGTCAGTCATATATATATATATATATATTACTATTTGATAAACTATTTTGATAAACACTTCAGATGACATCTTGAATTTACACCTGTGAATGGAACTCGAGCAATTAACATGATCATTTTTCACTGACTGTGTTACGACCAATTTTCGCAGGATAAAATCTTCATTCGAAGATTTAAACCTCGTTTCTGCAACTTGCTCAAAGAAATTTAGATGCAAGCAGCTTGTCCGAATTCCACAGTTATATAATTCCTAATGGTTATCCGCATCGGAAAGTACCAAGTCCATGGTCCCCGCTGGAAACTATTATGAATACTATAACAGAGGTTTCCGCACAATATGTAGATCTAGGTTTCTCTGAATCAGTTGCGGAACCCAGATCAAACTACTCTTATACAACAAAAGGAGGCCGCAACCATAATACACTATCATGGTCGTAATACTTTGATTAAATTGTGCATAGCTTTCTGGTTTAAAATTTACTCTCATGTCATAGAGGCATTAAAGTTCTGCGTATCGATTTTAGTGTTTGACAACCATTAACACCCAATGTAAAATCTAGCTAATAAATAGATAGATAGATAGATAGATAGATAGATAAACACATACACTTTCTCACACGTGTATCATTTAAATGTCCTATTCCATCACATTAAATTATCCTTCCATAGTCAAATGGATATATAATCAGAAGAAATTCAGAACCAGGTATCTTATTTGACAAGATCCCCTTTACTTGTTCCTCCCAATATTGGCAATATACTCATATCAGATAAATTATACCGTATTGACAGATACAATAATATCTAAGGAGAGAAATAAATGGCTAAACAGAAACATTAAACAAATAATTAACTATAATGAAAGAGTGAATAAGCAATGACGAAAAAATAATTTATGTCGAAAGGTAAATTCCAAACAAAATTAAGTCAAAAAAGGAGTACAGAAGGTATTCAGATAACAAAATAACAAATCGAAGTAACAAAGACAAGTCATGTAAGCTAAAAAAATATAGTTTTAAACACTATTGCAATCCTCTTTTACGTAAATAACGATGCACTCATTAGCTTAGGAGTAGCCTCCTCACCTGGTCACATTGTTCAAGCTTGTCCAACTGATCACGGTTTTTGATAACAATATTCTCAATATCAAGCA